AGTTATAAAGGTATGTCCTTGGGGATGTCAGTTTCTGTTTTAGATGTTGTTTCCTGAGTAGATGCAAAAGGCTATTTGTAAACAGTATTCAGTTCAGATGCAGATGCTCCAGAAGGTCAAATTTAGCTTTAGATAGCAAAATGTAGGTTTAAGGCCTAAATTTAAATTTTGTTTTTTCTCTCTTTAAAATTGTTATGCTTTTTCTTTTTGATGAATTCATCCTTTTACATCCTTTTTAGAGTGATTAAATTCCAACAATTCATTGTCATTTGGTTTATATATTCATGCCTTTTGTTGTCATGTAAACTCAAATTTATTGTTCTTGGTTTATTTTTTAGTAATCACACACAAAAAAAAAAATAAAATCTAATATTGCTTTTACTTCTCTATAAATTTTGTTAGTCATATTATTTTGAAATGAATGAAAAAAAAAAATCTTTTTCTTTATAGAAGTTGTGTGTGTATATTTGCATACTTTACATTTTGAAATGGCTTACGTGATTTAAAAAATCTTAGTTGTCATCGTACAAATCATGATTCCTAAAAATCATGTGTGATCCTAAGCAAAAGTCATTTAATTGGTTTTCCTTCTGGTAAAGTCTATTATTCTATGACCCATAAATGTTCTGAAAAAGCTTTGTTACAAATTGGAAATTTGATATTTCTAACAGGAAAACAATGAAACTATTTTATATTTTTTAAATTTTGCTCATAAAGTTAAACTAGATATTTCTTTATTATATATTTTGAAATTTTATAAAATGCAACTATACTTCACAGCATGTATTGTGATATTTATATAACTGTCCAAGAAATAAATAAAAGCATCAAATTAGAAAAAAAAAATGATCTTAAAGGTGACCTCACTTTTAGCATCATCACATACTGATCATAGTTTTCTCTGTTTATAAGTAATAAATATAATAATAGTCAATATTAATAGGCCAACCTTGGTATAAAGACACATTGCTCAACCAATCTTTGAGTAAGGGTCATAATCACTCTCTCATTGGCTGACAAGTGATAAACACAAACTTTAAACTATTACTGCAGTTGCTCAAGGAAATAATTTTGGTGTTACATGATTGCATTTAAGATAAAAATTTAAAGTGGGTTTTCTGGTTCATTTATAAATATACAAAGTAATGTTTACTATTCCTTGATGTGATTGCTTCCAGTTAGTGTTTTGTTTTTTTTTTTTTTTTTTTTTTTTTTTTTTGTTTTTTTTTTTAATGAAACACTGATATTGATATTTTCTTTTAGGCTCTTTTTAGGTTCCTTTATATCAAATCATTCTCTCTCATTTAAAATAAGTCTCATACATTGACTACTTATCTGCTTCACTTGTGCTTCTTCATGAGCAATGTACCAAACAGAAAAAAAAGATTCTGCCCATTGGCCTTTACCATTTTTATCACAGTTCTGTTTTATCTACATATGCCAACATGAATGTTACCTTCCTGCTTAGATCTACCTAATTCCTTTTAAGTGTTTGCCAATAATCTTTACTTTCAGAATATCAAGACTGGCACTTTTTATTATGCTCCAATGCGAAGTACTTTCACTTCATTTAATTGTGTTATCAATGTTGTTTTCATAGCACATACCTTACTTTAGTGTGTATTACTTTTCAAGGATTCAAAGTCTGTGGATACTAATTAAGTTTATCTTGGAAATCTTTTCTATTTTTTCTTTCTTTCTTTGTTTTTAATATGCAGTTATACCTTATAGAAACCATAGATATTTAATAAGATTATGTTACTGGTTTACAGGCCAACATATTTCTATGATTATATTAAATTTTATCAAATTCTTCAAAATCTGTAACACTTCCATCAGTTATGTTTATAGTAAACTAAACTGTTTTTTTAATTCCCATCAACTGAATCCTTTTATAAAAGTGAGTTTTCTCCAATGTTGACTTTTTATTAGACAAAGTACTGATTTATCTTAACCTCGAGAGGGATGAACACATTTGGCTATTTTGTCCTAGGCAAACCACTGTTACTATGGCTGCAGCACACGTGGTGTCCCTATACCTTAATGGGTTACAGGACTTTACTCATGATGTGATTAATTTAGTTTGTTTTTGCCCTTCATTAATAATACATTTTCTTATTCCAGTATCATATCTATTTCCTATTTGGATATAGTATTTAACTGGTGATTTGACAATTGTGACAGCCTAACAAGACTGTGTTCATTGTCAGAATGCCCTTGACATTTTTTTGTTTTTAGCCAAAACAAATGAACATCAGCTTTAGCAAAAACCTGTGAAATCCATTTTCAATAAATGTTTTTTTTTTCTGTCCTTACAGCAATATGGTAAATAAACAGAAGCTTTGTATGTTTGGAATTTGTATGATGAATGACATATCTCAGTTTTATTTATGGTGAATAAATCCCAATCCTTTATAGCATGATTGATTTATATTGAAAATATATTTCAAATGGATAAAGAGTGAAAGGGTTGAATAGATATAAATAAGCCACATGTTGGAATTAAGAAAAAATTGCAGTAACACATGGCCTCCCCCACCCCAAATATTCACAAATATTAAATAATGCAATAAATATATCTCATAAAGATGTCTACTGAAGAAATTAGGTAATATCTCTGTCTACTGAAATATTCTATACATTTCAGTATTTCAAGCCACTAAGACAAAAACTTATGTAAGTACATGCTAGGGTAAGTATGCATTCTAAGAAACTCGCTATACTTAGAATATAATATCTGTCATAACCTAACAATTTGACAGCATTGTAAGATGTTATTGCAGATAATTTTTTTTTTTTTTTTTTAAGATCTATTGTTCTGAGATTATTTCAATTCTTTTGTTTTATTAAAGCATAAATGGGCAGTCAATGATTGATACTGTAGAATATCCAGTATTCCCACAAACACTTTTCACTGAATACAATATAAAATATTGAAAAAAGATATTGATACTATGGGACATCATGAAAAGTTTGTTTTTTTTTTTCTTTAAATTCATATTCCTTTAGTGTGGTTAAAACCTAGATGTCAAAAATATTGACAATACTTTTTTTCATCAATAATAAAATCACCCTCCCCCAGAAAAGTATTAAATCATAAGGTTGAAGAGTATTACAAAGTATTGCATACAATTGGCCAGTATTTTAAGAATCTTATTTTAAACTGTAAGCACGCAAATAATATGATCAAGAACATTGTTGGTGAAATTTCATCTTGTTTGAAACCAGTTTTTAAGTTAACAATAGAATAATAATTAGAAGAAAGGAAACTTCCTCATTGAATGCATTACTAAAATCAACTAGAATATGAAGGACAGGGATGAAGTATTGAGAAGACCAGCTGTCACTTTACCTACAGTGAAAGTTACTAAACACCACTTGTGTGAAAAAGAGCACAACTAATAATTGTATTAAAAGATTTAACTTCTAAGATAATTTTGTTATCACTCAGTAATTTACAATAGGAGCAAGCAATATCTTGGGGAGTTAAGAAGAAAATTAGATCTGATGCTGTCAATACTGAGGCATCTTGCATAGTGTCATTACAATGGATCACATGCAATGAAAGTGTAAATATTAATCAGAAATGGCCCTCTTTCGAATATCTTATTCAGTAGACTCTTGTTGTGGAATATGTATTCCTGTAATGAATGATGCTGAGCTTGGCCATTCTACTCAGTGTAGTATGGTGAGAGAGCATTATTTTAAAGGCATGGAGTCCTATTTATGAGTAGTAAATTTTGAACCATGGACCAGTACTTTTTTGAAGTCTCCACCTACTTAACCATTCATTAAGCAGCTCCAAGGGCAGCACCACATGTTATTTACAATTTTCCACAGCAGCTGACAGCAGCAGAATGTTTTGGTGATACAGTCTTGCTCATTTCTTATATACCCATTCAGGATAGTAAGTATACATTATTTTTTGGTTTTGGACTTTTTTGTTAGCTTTTATATTGGATGAAACAATATAAAAAACCTTGTTTGACAGCATTAATGATTGTTCTATTTCCTGTTTTAACCTTTTGATAATATAGAAGTGTGTGTGTGTGTGTGTGTGTGTGTGTGTGTGTGTGTGTGTGTGTGTGTGTGTGTGTGTGTATATATATATATATATATATATATATATATATATATATATATATATGAGCTGGCAAGACTGTTTACATAGGGTGATTATTTCTGTCATCCAGCATTTTTTTATGATCCAGCAGTGCCAAATTAAAGTGATTGGACTGTACATCTGATTTTACAAATATCTTATGTAAATAGAATGGCTATTATCATACTTATTATAAAACCCAGGTTGTGTGTGTGTCTGTACGTTTATATATTGGATTGGATTTCCTACATTTTTCAACCGATTTCAACAAAACTTCACAGGACTACGTAAAATTACCATGTGGTGGTTCTGACAAAAATGTGCTTACTAGCTTCTTATCTTTCCAAATTTTCCTCATCTCATTCCCAGTTAGAAATTTTTTCTCCTTTTTAATGGTGTTTTTTTTTTTTTTTTTTTTTTTTTAAATTTGGGAAAAGCCTAAAATCACAGTGAGTAAAATCTGGATGAGTATGGAACTAATGGTTTTACAGGAAAGTCTTGAATGAAACTGTAAGAATGGGCAAGTGATATATTCAGAATAGTTGGATACTCTTTGGACAGTCGTGGAATCCACAGATCTCGTAATTCCTGTACATCAGTTATTATTTACTTTGATTACAGCTTCTATATGTTGAATTTTTTTAATCTACCTTTTTAGAAAATGGATTGTTTTCAACAAATCCTCAGTTAATTTTGAAGCATTGGTACTAAAACTTTATTTAGGCTTCAGTAAGTGAATCATAATTGAAAGTTTATACATTTGAATAGTTTCTGCAGGTAAATGTCTATATTTTCAAGCAAAACTTGATGGATGACACTGAAAACTACTGTTGCACAATATACATGGCTCATTATATAGCATCTCACAGATGACTGAAGGGCTTATGGCTGCATCATGTTGAAACATTGGTTCCCTTATGATCACCAAAGTTAAGCAGTGTTGAACCTGGTCAATACCTAGATGGGTGACCACTTGGGGATACCAGGTGCTGTAAGCTTGGATGTGCGAGTGGTGTAATGTTTAATGGCATGGAATTGCTAATTGGAGAGCCAATTTCCGTTAGGTTCATTATGTTCACTTATGTGCAAATGCCCTTTGAAAAGGTATGAATCTATCTCTACCCCCTGTTATGGGTTAATTAGTAAGACTTGTATCAATAAAACCATTATCAAAAAATAAATTCTTACAATCTAAAAATATTTTCTGGCTTTAAATAACCAATAAAACCCGTAGAAAACGAAACGATCAAAAAAAAAAAAAAAAAAAACTGACCGAGTAACCCTATAGGAGTGTGTTCATACATGTACAGTAAAGTTATTTTTGGTTGTCAAGTTGTGCAACTAGATTTGAAATATTTATAATGGCTGGATACTTTACAGACAAACCACTTACAAATCTCATATTAACAAATTCATAAAAGAAAAAGATTTGTTAACAAAATCCAAAGAAGAGTCTGTAATGTTATCAGTCTTAACCAGGCATCTTGACTTCAGTCATATCCTCATTGCCATGATATGATTTTCCTGTGTCTTTTTCTATAAATATTTTCATAGCAATTGATCTAATGTGTTTTCCTCCATGGTACCTTGACTGCATGAATTTAAGTGTACTATGAAATTGGCAAAGAAATTTTGTTGTTTTACTGTTGAAATAGTTAAATGTAACCATAAGTTGTATTCTAATAGTTTCTTTTCTCACACTACATGCCTGTTGAACTTTCAGTTTTTTGCCTCCCTGCCACCTATGTTCTTCAAAAACTGTATTGAACTACAGCAGAGAGCAAAGAGGTCCAGGGTTGCATGTATTTTTTACAACATCAGAATAAAATAACTTACCTCCTGCATGAGCAAAAATTTGAACATGTCTCACGGTGTAAACTATCCAAAGGGGAAAGTTGTGGTGGCTTTGCAGGTTATATATTTAAAATAGCTAGATCTCAGAGTAAGATACTCTCTCACAAGATTATCTTTGTGTTCATGCAAATTTTGGTTGTTAATGATACATAAAAACAGAAAGAGCAAGGTGATAGGGGAGAGAGGAAAAAAAGATGGTTGACTGCTGTGTTGAACTGGTTACATGTGTTGTGGATGAGAGAGAAGAAACTGATTGTAGGCATTGATTGCAAAAAAAAAGTTTAAAACTTTTTTTTTGCTACAAGCTATTTCGGCAATTCTGAATTTTTCTACAAGATGGTGGAGAAGGTGTTTGATATCAGATTGATTCCTGATTTTAGTGGGCGTTGCCACCAATTTACCAATTACAGAGTGGCTTGAGAACATGGAGTTGGTATGTGAGCTGTGTGACATGAGGATCGAGCATGTCCTACTGTTACAATTTTGAGCTGGGGCTTTCGCTGTATACTGGCAACTAAGTAAAGAGCAGAGGTCAGATGTGTATGCAATGGACTCCTTCAATGCTTTTGACCAGTTCATGATGAGGCAACTTCGTACTGGGGAAACTGTCTATGAATTTTTGGCAGACAGTTGCCTGAGCGATGAATGGTATGTGCATTCATGTCTGGGCTCCCACAGGATGTTAGAACATTATCCCATCTAGACACTATAACTTTGTAGCAACTTCTAACCTGGGCAAGGGCCATTATGACTGATAACCAAAAACCTGAATAGTCAGTCGTTGCATCCATTCAATGGACATGTGCTGAGACACCTCCTGGCATGCGCAAGGATAGCATAATTTGTTTTAAGTGCTCTGGTCCCAACCACTTTACTAAGGACTGTAAACAAAGACACCTAGCAGGAACAGATAACTGGGTGTGCAGATTGCGCTGTGAAGTGTGTTGCTTTCATTGCTACAAAGTTGGACACCTTTGAGTGCCAGGGAAACAGTCTCCTCCCCTAAAAAGTAAAGAAGGATGCACTACCAGTCGTCAAAGTGCTCGTAGATGAACAGAAGTGTTTAGCCCTTGTAAACTTTGGCTGCTTGCAGACTACTAGTGAGCAGATCTGTATGCTGTCTTTGGCGATGTAGGAAGGTAAAGGTGCTGACAGCCAATGGGAAATTGTTAAAGTGCAATGGGTATGACAGTCAAATTGGATGTTGATTGTGCTTGACCTGTGAACATTGAAGTCTTAGTTGAACATTGCTAGGATTTCATCTGCTTTTAGGGATCAATGCAATCCATGAGCTTGGGGAAATGTCCATCACTAAATTGGGAGAAATCTGCTTCCTTGAGGAAGATATACCCTAGTGTGTTGCCATTTCCCTCTACAAACCTGACTTTAGTGTGCAAATTTGACCAACAGAAGGAGGTTTGAACTGCTTTGCAGAAATGGGCCAGTGGTTAAGCACTTGAAAGTCTGATAAACAGTGTGCTGGAATACACCATGCCTGACACTGTCTGGGACGAATATGACAAAGAATTGCAGCTGTGGCTAGACAATGAATGGCTGTTGCATATATCCTGAAAGTGAGCTCCCAAGGGCCTGATTCCATTGATGGCAGTAGTTCAAAAGAACAAACAGAAGATTCAGCCAGTGCTGTATTAAAGGGAATTGAATGATTTTGTGGAAATGTTCACTGCCAACGCAGATGTGTGCGCCCAGAAGTTCAGGTAATGGTGATGCAGGGAGTGAACTTATCCTTGTTAGATTTGTGAAAAGCTTATCTATAGATACACTTTGACAAAGCATTTTGGCCCTTTCAAACCGTGCTGATCAAGGGTAAGAGGTATTGTCTTACACAACTGGGATTTGGCTTAAATGTTGCACCTCTCATTATGAGGGCTATCATAAAATTAGTCATGTCCTAGAATGTGTCAATCAAAAAGGTCACATTAACTTGTATAGATGACATGTTTATCAACAAAGCTTTGGTTTCTATTACGTGGGTGAGGGACTATCTATCCAATTATGGACTTATTTGTAAAGACCTAGAGAGACTGAAAGATGGGACCAGAGTATTGGGTCTGTATGTCTGGTGGGAGAATGGTACTCTCCGATGGAAGCGAGGAAGTAAAGTCCGGACCTTCCAGAGATCGTTCCTATCTGAAGTGTGTTTTCTCTGTGTGGGAGACTTGTGAGACACTTTCCCAGGTGTAGTTAGTTAAGAATAGCAACTACTTGGTCATACACCTTCCTTGCAGTGTCTTAACTGCAAGGAAGGTGTATGACCATGTTTAAGACTGGTTGCATAGCCAAAGTTAACAGTTCAGTCAGTACAGGTTGATGGAATTCCACAGTATGTGAAGGACTTGCGTCACTTTTAGGGACCATATTCTCTATCTGAACATGAAGGGGATTCAACAAAAAGTGAGCTGTTAGTTGACTTGAGATTGACTTCACCAGGCGATTCTTCTGATACCAGCAGCACTGCGTCTGGTGCAGGAGAACCCAATGTCTCCTCCAGTGGTGATTCATCTGAAAATGAAACTTGTGTTGCTCCCCATCAGAGGAGTATGTAGCAGAAGAGGTCTCCCCTTGGTTGCATTTGCTGTGATCATGAGATTAGGGGAAGTGTAGTGAACAACCACAGAGGCCCGGGGTTGCATGTATTTTTTGCAATGCTAGAATAAAATAACTTACCTCCAACACAAGCAAAGATTCAAACGTGCCTTGCAGTATAAACTGTCCAAAGGAGAATGAAGTGTTGGCTTTGTGGGTTACATATTTAGAATAGCTAGATCTCACAGTAAGATAGTCTTTCACAAGATTATCTTTGTGCATATGCAAATTTTGGCTGTTAATGATACATAAAAACAGGAAGAACTAGGCGACAAAGGAGACAGGGGGAAAAAAAAAAAGATGGTTGACTGCTGTGTTGAACTGGCTACACATGTCACAGAGAGAAGAAACTGATTGTAGGCATTGATTGCAAGAAAAAGTATAAAGATTTTTCTTTTTGCTACAAAAACGCAACATCAACTACCATTTTCTGTCTTTCTTAATCCTATTTTTTTATTGTTTTATCAATAAATTCTCAACTTTTTCTTTCTCATTAAACACTTGAATCTTTGTGACATTATCACCTTGCTTGATGTGAAATTTGATTTTCTAAAAAAAGTATATATATATATATATATATATATATATATATATATATATATATATGAGGGAGACATTTTTGCAGCTTTGCTTCTTAAAATATCTCGTAGGGAACAAAGCAACTATGACTTGTCTAGTGATATGAGACTCAGTAAATGTTCATTATCCAGAAAACTTTCTGTTCAGATATTGATAATTTTTGGAAAAAAATCCAATATGCTGATAATTTGGTCTTATCTATCTTTGAGATCTGCTTTATAACACATTGTTGACTTAGTCAATATGTTTAATGACTTTAATGAATCCTGTTCTTTCAATGAATAAACAGTTGTTGGAAAGGTACCTGACTTCATTCTTTTTTCTCTGACAGCTAATTTTATATTTTCAAAATGTCTAAAGGCAATAAATTGTCTGTCGTAATTTCTGTCTCTAGCACCTTTCCTCTGACTGAAAATGTTTCCCTACCCCATCTCTTACCTTCCAGCTCCTCCTCATTTTCAGTGGTGTCACATTTCCTTTCCCTTTGCTTAAACTATGTAAGGTCATTTTGACCCCAAAGTTGTGTATTGATCTCTGGATGTTGACAGCAATGTCAGCCCCTTATCTTAGCCTGGCTAGGCACTTTCTCTTCCTTTTAACAAATTTCTATTTATTTATAGGTAGCCATTAATATATCCAGAGGAACATTGGACACTTAAAATTGTTGAAAAACAAAAAGAAATATTTTGATTTGATAACAATTTTCAGAAGATGAAACTTCAACATCAAAATACTTTAGTTTACAAATATTATATATAAATTACTCCATAAATGATTTTAACTAATATTTCCATGCAGGTACCTCCACAGATAATGTGATACCTAAGGCTTAATGAATTTTTAAAAATAAAAAAAAAATCTTTCTTCAAGCTTTTATTTTAATTTGAATTTTAAGCTAAATATTTCCAATAAGCAAAAAAATACTTTGTTGTATTTCAAAAACTAGTTTAAATTAA